ATAGGTTTTGTGGAGATACACACTCCGAAGATAATATCCGCGGCGTCGGAGGGCGGCGCGAACGTGTTCACAGTGTCGTACTTCAAGTCGTCAGCGTTCCTCGCGCAGAGCCCGCAGCTGTACAAGCAGATGGCGATCGCAGCTGACTTCGATAAGGTAATTTCATACCAGTGGTAGGCTCTACCATCTACGCTTTAACATCTTCGCACTGTATAGTGGTTAATAAATAAATAATACCACGACCACACAGAAAACAGGCGTCAAATGGAAGCAATTCCGTGTACAGTCTGAAGAGTGTGGTGCCGGAGGCCTAATTTAGTCTTTTTCCCTTTCCGCTCTTTTCTTAAGAGGAAAGGATGGGAATGAAAAAATAAAATAAAATAACATTTAATCTTATCACCACTACAACACAATTTGGAATAAGAGAAATAAAACCACACAACAAAGTAATTAAAATGTGTATGCAGTGCTGACCGGATTTGATGATTTGATAAAAAGTGGATTTGATGGTGAAGGGGACGCATAGGAAGGGGAAATGTCCTCTTTATATGCGTCTCCTCCGTCAATGAAGGGTAGACAACGCTGCAATTGCGGATGTCTATGAGCAGCGGTAGCTTTTCATTTCGGTGGATTAAGGTGACCGCTTGCTCGTTTGCCACCTTATCTTATAAAAAAACCAACTTAGTCTCTACGTAGGGTACAGTATGTGCTGCTCTTCCATACAGCTATCATCTTCATCAGCCTTTATCTGTCCATTGCTGGATATAGGCCTCAATGCCTTCCACAAAATGGGATCCTCCGCTTTTTGCATCCAATGACTTTCCGTCGTACGCACTCAGAGATCCACCCTCATCATCAACTTGCCCTTGTCCCTACCAGTATGTGCTCTTCCATACAATTATCAGGCGCTATATAATTCACTGTTTGTAAGTGGTTTAAGCACTTGACTTGTAATCTACAGGTCTTGGGTTCGAATCCCGCTGTACCAATGTGATTTTAGATTTTTCGAATTTTCATATG